GGGGCTTATCGAACCCCCCAAAAAAGCGAGAAAGGGGACGCCCTCCCCCCCCCTCCCCTCCTAGACTTGCCGCCGTGAACTCTAAACCCTAAACCCCAAGCCGTCAACCCTCAACCCTCAACTCCAGTCCTGAATCCAAGCTCCCCCAGCTGAGTCTTTCGCCGCTCGGAACTTATTGTCGTTCTCCTCCTCCTTGGATGCATTGGGTTTTGGGTTTTGGCCTTTTGGGGGGGGGCTTTTCATGACAAGGACTATCGTACTTTGGGGCTATAGATTCCCTATCTGTTCCCCTTATATCCGTATAAAACAAAAAGGCCCACAATTCAGAACCCTTTTGGGGAAGGGGGAGCCTTGTAACTTCCCTTGGACTAAAACCAGACCTCAATTCCTACTGGGCCCCTGACGAAAGTACCGATCTACCACCTTTGACGTAAGCTTCACCCTTAAACCCATAAACCCTTGAACCCTTAAACCCTAAACCCTAAGGCCTAAGGCCTAAACCTCCAACCTTTGGATTTTGTAGGATTCTGTGGAATAACATGTTCAGAGGAGCCAAGGGGCCACCCTCATAGTATTCAAGGGGCAGAAAGAATACTAAACAATTACCGGCCAAAGGGCTTGGTTTTGCCAGTGTCATTGAGCCAAACCAAAGATTTGATTGTTGAGCTGAGGGCCCTCAACCCTGAACCCTCTTACACGCAGAAAAGCGGGCATGGCCACGACGGTATAGAACCACGGGTGAGTTGGGTCTGATCACCACTGCCACTTTGGTTCGGGATAGGGGCTTTGGGTGTGCAGGGTCTAGGGCCCAGGGCTAGAGTTTCATGCTTAGAGTTTAGGGTTTAGGCAGCTTCCAACACCTCAAAAACCCCTGAAAACCCTTGAGCGTCTGGGTCCGGCGCCCCTTCGACGTTGTCGTGAACGTGGGTTATGCCTTCGAGTTGAAATGCGGAACGCTTGTATTTGGGAGGCAATCCTACTGCTGTGCAGAAGCAGAAATAATTACCCATTTCCGCCCGTTAACCCCTATATAAGTCCGATAAAGCTCTATATACGCCCTACGAGCCCTATAAAGCCCGTAAGCCCTATAAAGCTCTATCAACCCCAAACCCATACATTCATGATCTAAACTACACAAGGTACCCATCTCGTAAGATACATCATGTTTCCCCGAACATCCCCCACCCTGCAGGTAAAGAATTTGCGGCCTCACACTGGGCTGGCCACTCCAGGCTCTGGGAATATGCTAGGGTCGGGCACTCGGCACTCCAGGGATTTTTAGGCTCTCTCTCTGGGGATACGGGTGATGGGCGAGGAGGAGGTTTTCGTTTAAAGTCCAACAACCCCCACATTGAGGGTGGGGAATAAACAATCTCTGTTTCGGGTTAGGTAGGATATATGATTATGTATATATATATATACATATATATATACATACGTATATGTATATTTATATATGTATATACACATGTCGTACATGACTGTTCTTCGGAGTGTGGAAGCTGGCATCTCCGCAGCCAGTCATATGCATGTGAACGAGTCGAAGCATTTGTTTGGCTTGCAAGTGCATTTCCAAGCCCGACAGTTGTGGCCTTGAACCTGAAACCACACAACCTAAACCCAAGCCTCAACCTTAAACCCTATATATATATACATGTGTATTTATGTATATATATATATATATGTTTATTTATTTATGTGCAGCCGGAAGTGTGTTAGCAATACAACAGCGGAAATATGAGTGCCCCTAAACCCTAAACCCTAAACCCTAGTGCCCCGAGCTGCCTAACACGGAGTACGCGTGCTTGGTGACGAGGCCCTGGTCGGTGCCATCTTGCTCGCAGTGGCAGGATGCAACGATGAGCCTGGCACATCGGCTGTGTCATACAAATCTTGTTAGGGTTTAGGGTTTAGGGAATATAGAGTTTAGGGTTTAGGGTTTAGGTAGGGTTTAGGGTTTAGGAGGGTTAGGGCTTTCGGGCTGGAGAGCGGCTTCGAAAATGAAGACAGTGATCCGACACCAATTTCTCAGGTGGTTGGTTGTCCTAGCAAGGGTGTGTCACAAGAGCAACCAAAAGGAAACCGCAAAAGGCTTGCAAGATCTCGCCCAAACCGTTTAGCACTCAGGGTTGCGTTTGCAACGCAGCTGAGATGCAACCTATCTTGCAACGATATCGGCTTCATGCTGTGGTCGTCGGCATCTTGAATAGGTGTTGTAAGAGGTTTTAAGTTTTAAGGCTTCAAGGAACCAGCGCTAGCCCTAAAAAAATGTCCCAAAACCCTATAAACTCTCCACATCCTAAACCGCATAAACCCCAAACCCTATTGACCCCATAAACCCTGTGAAACCTATAGTCCCTGCAAACCCTGCAAACCCTATAAACCCTAAACAACCCTGTAAAACAAAAAAAGCTTTAAAACCCTATCAAACCCCTAACGCTAGAAACCTTAAACCCCAAACCCATTCCCTCCAAGTACCAGCCTCTGGCCCTTCCACTGGTGGTAGATCAAGTAGTTTTCCACCTGAAGGGCGTGTAAAGGGTACCCTACACCCTGAGCCCCAAACCCTAAAGCCTAAACCCTGAACCCTAAACCGTTTACATGGGCCCTCAATAGCCCTTGCTAAGGTACAGGGACCCTAAACCCTTTGTAAGGTATAAACCCTTATTCATCTAAGGGTAGGTCTATGGGGCGCTTACTGTATGGGCCCCCTTGGGCTACCCTGATAAGGGTGCAGAAGGTCACTCCAATGAATTCATCCTGATGATTACTTCTCCTACTGGCTCTTAGTAGGGAATGAGGAACTTAGGTACCCCATATTCCCCGCCATATGTACCCTTTAAGGGTACCCCATTCCCTCAGTCCCTACGAAGAGCCAGTAGGTTTGTAAACTTCCTTTATAGCAAAAGGACCCCAGGGACCTTAGTCTGCGCCCACCTCCTTGGTCTTCTTGAAGAAGGATCCTGGGATTTGCCGGCCTACTTCAAGGGTCCATGGACCGGGTTAGGGGGCCTGCCACTCCCTAAACCCTCAACCCTACATCCTGTTGCTCGTGGCAGCGGGCATTCTATTTTGCTTGTTTTTTAACTTGAACTTTGAAACAGGGTGTGAGGGTTTGGGAACCTGCACCCTCAGCCTTACTGAGTTTTCCGAGAGGCGAAAGGTTCACATGTGGAGTTATAAGGGAGGCTCAACGGGATTTATAGGGTTTAGGCTTTAGGACTATGATCGTGCGTCTGCCAAGCTGCCAAACTTGCAGTAGCCAGCATCCCCAGACGTCATCAACCTCGGCGACCCAGCCAATGACTCAGGTTGCTGGACTACTTGGGCCATGAAGTCCCTAGATAGGAGGTACTTTTAAGCCCCAAGTATTCCCTATTTAGGTACATGGACCCCTAGGGTTGTTCAGAAGCTTCAACTAAGGTAGCATGACGGGGTTAAGCAGTAGCTAATGTAGTATCCTGATTTTGGTACCTTAATCTGAGTGCTTCAGCAAGATCCTAGAAAAATATAGGGTTAAGGGTTTAGGGTTTAGGGTTGTGGCTTTATGGTTTAGGGCAACTTGGCATGTTCCCCCTTATACTAACAATCCTCAATATGGATTATCATAGGGAGTACTAGAATCCCTGTTAAGGACTGTTAGTATAAGGGGGAACATCCCAAAATATCGGGTGTATAGGTGCTTTCTTCTGAACATCTGAAGCACAGATGTCATGAGGGTAATTAAGGGTGTGCCAATCCGGGTTCGGGAGCTGCCTCTTAGGGTTTCGGGTTTTGGGCTTCGCTAAACCCTAAACCCTAAACCCTAAACCCTAAGCCCTAAACCCTCAACCCTCAACCCTAAACCCTAAACCGTAAACCCTAAACCCTCAACCCTAAACCCTAAACCCTAAGGTTAGGGCTTTAGTGTTTCGGGCTGCACGCAAGTCCCAGGGGCTCTAGTGAACGGCAGGAGCCGATGCACGTTGGCGCGCTGCCAACCATGTCCGAGTAGCCTGGGTTACTGGGTGCTTTAGGGTTCAGGGTTCAGGGTTCAGGGTTTAGGGTTTAGGGTTTAGGGTTTAGAGTTTAGGGTTTGCTAAGGAGCTTCACGTAAGTTACTAATTAGCAAAGAATGCGATGACATTTACTATATACACTACATAAATCCCACTATGGTATATGGAGGTTTCAGAAATTCGGGGTACCTTTATGGGGTCCTTATTATAGAGGAATCCTACTATTTGGCGAGCTATAGTTGCTTCCCCTATTTTCTAAACCCCGTATTGTAATGGCTTAAAAGGCAAGAACAATTCGCGCCTTGTGGAGCAGCACGCCTACCAACATGGCAACCACAACCCAAAGCCCTATGGAAGGTAAGCGTCAGACCTAGAACCCTCAACCCCGAAAGCCAAAGCTGATTGAGGTGGAAAGCGCAGACCCATAAGAGTGTTTAGGGTTCAGGGTCTAGGTTGCAGGGTTCATTCAGGCACTAAACCCTAAACCCCAAACCCTAAACCCGGGGATTAGGCTTCAGGCAGGGAGGCTTCGTTCACTCGAGTGAATTACTTAAACCCTAAACCCTAAACCCTAAACCCTAAACCCTAAACCCTAAACCCTAAACCCCTAAACCCTAAGAGCTTTGAGGGCTTTAGGACTTAGCGCTTTAAAGCTAGGGCTCTGGGAAGCCCACATGCCTCAAACCCCAACTTGCTAGCCCAGGGTTTAGGGTTTGGGGTTTAGGGGTTTTCTGGGTTGGTTATTCGTATAAGGGAGCCTAGAACCAAAAAAAAGGGGAAAAGGGTGGGGGGGGGTATCTTAGTACAATTATATAGGGAACATAAGGGAACACTCTTAGTAGTAATTCCGACCCCTATGGTAGGGGCTTTGTAGGGTTCGAGTTTAGCATGCTTCTGAGTGGAATGAATGGACTTCGGAAGATTGTAACAAGCCTTAAGGGTTTAGGGTTTAGGGTTGATCCCTAAGATCCCATCCTAGATGACACGCAACTGTTGTTGCTGCTAGATTTTGTGACGACCTAGCACGCTACGTAGGGCCTTGGCAGTCCGCTCGGCAACTGATGATCGCAAGTTGCGATTCTGCAGAACGGCATCCAACCTCTGTTGAGACTAGTGTTTAAGGTTTAGGGTCTTCTGAGTTTGCTGATCATTATCCCTAACGGTCCACGTACCTCACTATTGTGTACTTGCGCCCTAAAGTCCCTAAATTGGAGGTACTTTAGGGCCCAAGTACTCCCTTTTTACGTACATGGACCTGTGGGGTATCTTTTCTGCTCCTTTTGCTTGTTTCAACTAGGTTCAAAATGCACATAAGAATCGAGAGTCTGCGGATATCGACAGCCAAGTAGCACAGAGTCTGCGCGGCTTGACAGCCCCTCCGTCGCGGTTGGATCAGCTCGGCACTCTAACAGTGCCTGCACTTCTTCAGCATAGAACTGATGGTGCGCGTCGCTCTCGAGTCCACTGCTGACGCACCGGATCAGCCGGGCCGTGCTGTCTTGCGCAGTTAGACCAAGGCTGTCGAAGTTCGCCCTGAAAATCTCCAACTTGTTGCGCACACCCTCGGGGCTAACGCATACCAGATGCGAGCATTGCAGCGGAAGGCCTCTCTCAAACGGCCCCCACTCAGGCAGCCTCTCTGTGAGCCTTAGTTGTCCAGCAACCTGGGGGAATTAAAGATTAACCTTTGGGATTATGAAGGGATTCTACTACCCCAAAAAGGTTAAAGGTTACTTACTCTACTACTAGGGAGCTGCTGGCGCAGCTTCAGAGACTGTAGGACCTCGTGAAGGTCGCCCCGCACCTCTGCACCAGGAAATGGAGCATACAAGCTGCCTGTTGACAGATCCAGGCGGAACCAAGCTCCAGATTCTAGTTCCACATACCTGATTGATGGTTGGGATAGTATTAAAAGTTGATTTTGTTATTCCTTATTGGGTTTAAGTACCCTTAAAAATGCAAAATGTTACCCAACTATGACAAAGATACGGCAGGCCTTCAACGTGATGTCTGACGAGGTTCTCGCCCTTCCGGACCACGCTGCAAGCATCTGGAACGACTTTGCAGCAACTGCCTTGAGCAGTGGTTTCCGTGAAGAAGGCCGACGAGGCCAACACAAACTGCCAAGCGGTCGAGCTCCACCCGTCGTCACGCTCATTTGACCCCGGTACTTTGCAGTTGTTCCAATTCTCCCATGATGGGGAGTTGGCCTTCCAAGCCACCCACTGCAACGCCTCCACGCCAGCCTCCCAGGCACGTGGCGAAGGCCACACCAGCAGCTCCTCAGCCCACTCTCGTTGGCAGGCACCCTGCACGTCTCGGTCCCCATCCTGCCCACATTTGACGCCTCCGCCAACCGTGGTCCAGATACCGTGTCCATGGCTGGCCGGAGGCTTGGCGAGGAAGATGTAGACATCCCCGCTGCGTTCAAAGACAGGCAGGACCCTGACACTTCGGACTGGGCAGAAGCAAGACAAGGCAGGTGGCGGCAGTGGAGTGTGTGCATTTCGGATGTACTGATCTGCTGGCAGGAACCATGATGGCGTCCCGCCCTGCGCCGCCTCAAGATGTCGAACGAATGCCGGAATGACCCATGAAAACACGTAGGGCCACTTGCTCCCTGGCTCAGGTCCGGCGAAGGCGAAGACTTCGATATTGCACCGGACATGAAACCTTACTTGGAGGTATAACTTTACTTATAACTTTTATTAGGGCACTTGATGGGGCTTATTTATGAGTGGGTTACAAGTACAGTTTTGACTGGTTAAGAAGTACCATGAACCTCCGAGAAACCTTAGAGTCTGAAGATTCTGGAAGAGGCTCATCATGGCAGAATGCTCGGCCTCCGACTCAGATCTTGCCACAAACACCACCGGCTTCTCTGCAGGGCATGGTTGCAGGCGATCCAGAAACCCTGTAGCAGTTGAGTCCAGGGACTGCAATAGCGCCTGACTTCCATTCAGGATTGTGTCGCTTTCCACGGCTGGATCCAGAGCCAGCGTCAGCAGGTAGCGGATGCCGTGGGCCAGGGGCAGCATGAGTACGTCCTCGACAAAGTACTGCACGTCGCCCAAGAAAATGCCGATGGAGTTGGCAGGTGTATCCACCCACTGGCCAACTGCATCTGCTGATGCGTCGCGCCTGCTCGGCCCGCTCGGCCAAATTTTCCTCCCACCTTTGCCGCCTTTGCCAGGCATGGGTTAAGCTTTCCGCAGCGTGCCAAAGTGCCAGAAGTGCTTGAGAACAAAAACGCTCCGACTGTCTTGGCAACTCCTCAAACTATGCGAGGGTTTCGGGCTTATGTGGTTAAAAACGTGCCATTCGGCCATTCCAGACGACTTGCCGAACCCTAAACCCCAAACCCCAAACCCCAAACCCTAAACCCTAAACCCTAAACCCTCAACCACCCTTTACAATTGGAAGCAGAAGATGACAAACAAAAACACGGACACTTCGTACCTATAGACTTTAACAATATTCCAAGCCACCTGGGGAAGTTTAGGGCTTGGGGTTTATAAGGTTCTGGGTTTAGGGTTTAGGGTTTAGGGTTTAGGGTGACCCCATCTTTGCTTGGTCAGTGTTTATGAAGGATTCTGGTCACCAGAGGGGCCCCAGTGTCTGGTTAAAAAGTCCACAGGCTAGAAGTTGTGGGAAACAGCTCTATGATGCCTTTGCCAGGGTTTAGGGTTTAGGGTTTAGGGCTTAGGGTTTAGGGTTTATGGAAGCCTCGAAGTCCAAATTTCAGGGCACCCAAGGCGCTTCCGTGCAGCTTCGCCCACGCTTTCTCCAGAATCATGGGCCAAATCTCAAGACCTAAGCGCCGGTTTAGGGTTTAGGGTTTAGGGTCTAAGGGAATATAAGGGATAGGGTTTAGGGTTTAGGGGGTTGCGTAGCTGGATGCCCTGGGTTGCTTGCGCAGGATCTACACATCAATACAGCCGCTTTGTCCGGCTGTCATTGAACAGTGAAGTTCACCATGCCCAATGCGTCCTCACAGCTGTAGGTACATGGGCCTGTACAAGGATAGTTATAAGTAGAGGTATAAGGACCCAAAACTGGGTTATAAGGATCCACACTCAGGTTATAAGTCCCTTAACCGTAGTTAGTATAGTAAGGGGACCTCTCCTTGTAGGAGCTAAGCCCGACGTTGTAAGTGCAGGTCCAAAAGCCTTCGAACGAAGCGTTTGCGGACTGCACCCGGACAGCTCAGCTCCATCCGTTCCACTCATGAGACTCTACATCGGGCTCTGTCCCCTTGACCTTGAGGACCTTTCTTAAGCTCCTCTAAGGGAATAGAAGGGATATTGAGGGAACCTCTTAAGGGGTCCGAGTATGAGTATGGCTCCCTTGATCCACACATACACAAACTATCCAACCCTAGACCCTCAACCCTCAACCCTAAGAACTAAGAACCCTAAACCCTAAACCCCAAACCCTAAACCCTAAACCCTAAACCCTAAACCCTAAACCCTAAGAACCCTAAATCCAAAAGCCTAAATCCTGAGGCCTAAATCATGCTGGGGGTTAGCTGTCAGCTTTGGCTTTCTTAGGGCCCTAAGGTGGGTTGAAAAGTAGCAAGTCTCTAGACGCAGATACAGCGACCCCCCAACCCTAAACCTTACAGATGCACCCTAAACCTGCTAGACCCTAAACCCTAAACCCTAAACCCTAAACCCCAAACCCCAAACCCCAAACCCTAAACCCTAAACCCTAAACCCTAAACCCTAAACCCCAACGACCTGAAGGTGAAAGAACCCGCCAGAGAGCCGTTGGCGCACGAAGCAAAGGCCAGTCGAAGATCGGCGCAGATGGGAAACCTGGGCTCGCCGGAGGGTAGGATTTAGGGTTTAGGGTTAAGGGATTTGGGTTCAGAGTTCAGGGTTCAGGGCTTAGGGTTTAGGGTTTGGGATTTGGGGTTTGGGTTTTGGGGTTTGGGGGTTCGGGTTTAGGGTTTTTAGGGTTTAGGGTTCTTAGGGTTTTTCGGGTTTAGGGTTTCGGGGACTTACCACCAACCTGCCCCCCAGGCCCACTTCCTGTTCCTGTCTCATGGCAAAAACAAACAAGAAAACAAACTGAGACGGCTTCAGGTTGCCTACATATCATCGGCGTAGTAAGGGAGGGGCCCAGAGCCTAGGGCCTAATTGCAGATGGGTTTCGAGTTTATAGGGTTTAGGGACTCGGTTTCGGGAGGGGAACCCTAAACCCTAAACCCCAAACCCTAAACCCTAAACCCTAAACCCCAAACCCCAAACCCTAAACCCTGCATCTTACACCACGACATTTTTGCAGGATTCCAAATGTTTTGCAGGCAGGTCTGCATCAGATCAATCCAAGGAGCAGGTTGTCCAGCAGAACCTAGGGGAATCATTCGCGTTTAGCCCTAAACCCTAGGGTTTAGGGTTTAGGGTTTAGGGTTTAGGGCTTAGGGCCCCTCATCTTTCAAGAAGCGAAAAGCTCTGACGGCTTCCTTCCGCGACCTGCTCACGACTTATGGCAGATACGGGCGATCGCTACAGTTTGGTTAGGGATTTGGGAATTTGATTCCGCCATATAGTCCGTTAAAACGTGAAATAGCGGAAAAAAAGGATGACAACCCAAAACCAAAAACCCTCAACCTTAAACCTTCACGAGCGTAAGTTACGGCTGTCAACCATGCATCCTGAACTCTGAGTACCCTTAACCTAAACCCGATACCTAAGCCCCATAACCCCCATAAATCCGAGAAACTCTAAACCCCAAACCGAAACCCTAAACCCTACACCTTTAAATCCCATGAACCCTTCAAACCCTACTTGGAGGTCATGGTACTTGTTAACCAATTCTAACTGTACTTATAACCCACTTATAAGCCCCTGAAGTGCCCTGATAAGGTTATAAGTACAGTTCTAAGTACCATGAACCTGCAAGTACAAGCACGAAAAACTTCAGACTCATCGGCCAAGCATCCCAAACCCATTGCGAGCCGTCATAGACACGAACGGCATAGACTCCACTGGGCGACGTGCTTTCCACCTGAAAGCGCTGTCGCAAAGCAATTGAGCACTGTAAGAAAGGGGGCGTGTGTGATTTGGGTTTAGGGTTTAGGTTGAAAGGGGCCGTTTCGTTAGAGCGGTTGAATTAGAGAGCAGCTTATACATTGACATTCTTGTGATTGAAGCTATTTAGGCCTCCGTGTTGGATGAACTCGATTGGGGGGTGGGGGGGGGTTCAGGGCTTGCGCAATCGGAAATAGCTGGCACGCAATGCGTCCGCCAAGGCGGCTCAAGCAGCCACCAGCACTCTTCATATAGGTGCCTTAAGAACTAGAATAGGTTCCTTTTTTATTTGTGCTTATGGCTTTTGAAGGGGGTGTATTATAGCACAGTTGTATAGGGACCATATGGGAACACTAGTAGCAATTATTCCGACCCCTATACTTTGCGAGATGCACGGCGCCTGTCTCATGACTTTACGAAGGCAAGCTCGGGCTGATGTTGAAACCTTAAGCCCTCTGCGGTTTAGGGTTTGGGGTTTTAGGGTTTTAGGGTTTTAGGGTTTAGGGTTTAGGGTTTAGGGTTTAGGGTTTAGGGTTTAGGGTTTAGGGTTTAGGGTTTAGGGTTTAGAATTCCTGCGCCCTGAATGTGCAAACGAAAAAAACAACAGCAGATTCCCAATGATCACGGTCAGGCGGCTGGGTAGAACATCTTCTGCAAGATCTGAGGCCACTCTGCGACGACAGCACAGATGCTGATGAACCAGCAGTCACCGAGTCCTCCTTGCTTGATGTCATCCATATCCTGGAAGGCTCATGGGGTATACACGCTAGACGTGGCGATATGAAGTCCTTCCGAGGAGTATGAAAACATGGGGCGTGTGTAAGACCTGCGGCGTGTCTTGGACCTGCGGCGTGTCTTGGTAAGCAAGGTGAATGAACAGCAAGTTCCGGTGTAGCATGTAGATTGTTGAAAGTACACCGCAATACCTGCCGCAGGATTCCGAATCTATTGTTAGCGGCCTCCCCTACAACCCTACGAAAAAAAAAAAAAAAAAAAAAAAAAAAAAAAAAAAAAAAAAAAAAAAAAAAAAAAAAAAAAAAAAAAAAAAAAAAAAAAAAAAAAAAAAAAAAACGCCTGCTAGACCTTGGTAGCCCAAGAACCATCTTGTGCCAAGGGGACTAAATTGGGTTGGTTCCTTTATAACGGAACTCTAACCCTAAACCCAAACCCCTAAACCCTAAATTTTAAACCTAAACCCCAACCCTAGAACTCAAACAAACAGAAACAAGGGTACCACAGGGCTACCAAGATACATAAGATGTAAGGGAGACACAGGATCCGACAAAAAAGGCCGCGCTCGGACTGCCGACTGCCCCGACAGAACACACTTTAGCTGAACACAGTTTGGGTTCACATAGGGTTTAGGGTTTAGGGTAGAGAGTTTAGGGTTTAGGGTTTAGGACTAACCCTCTGCAAGAGCAAAACTCGGTATGCTGTATCAAAATGTGTTGCTTTGCATTCTTTGGTAGCTCGCTCAACGACCAGCGCACTGAATTCCACAGCCGAGGCCCCAGGGCAAAGGGTCTAATTGTACAACCCTCAACCCTATCAACCCTATCAACCCTATCGACCCTATAAACCCTACAAACCCTACAAACCCCATAAACCTGAAACCCTAAACCCCAGAAACCCTAAACCCCTAAACCCTACACCCTACAGTAGTGTTGGCCTCTAAACCCTAAACCCTACACCCTACACCCTACACCCTAAACCCTAAACCCTAAACCCTAAACCCTAAACCCTAAACCCTAAACCCTAAACCCTAAACCCTAAACATCTGCAGCTGTGGCTCAAAGCCATCCTTGACCATCAGGTGCCTCGCAGCGATGGGGACAAGACTCCACGAACTCCGGACTGGAACGCCGCGCTAAGGGGTTTAGGGTTTAGGGTTTAGGGTTTAGGGTTTAGGGTTTAGGGTTTAGGTTTAGGGTTTAGGGTTTAGGGTTTAAGGTTTAGGGTTTAGGGTTTAGGGTTTAGGGTTTAGGGGTTTAGGGGTTTAGGGGTTTAGGGGTAGTTGCATGGTCCCTTAACATGGGCCCTTATAATGAGAAGGGGGCCCCTTATGTACCCCTTTATTACATACCCTTTTCAACCCAAGGCCCGTACTTCAGCACCCTGTCAAGAAGGTAAGGGACCCTTAGAGGCACCCCTTAGACACGTCT